CTTATTTGTTCAATTCGTAGAGTACTTCAACTGATGTTTGTTAAACTTTTCGGGAGTAGTAACTCACGGGGTGATTGATGGCCTGTGCATCTTCTTGTAGAAGAACAGCGCCTGTCCCAACTCCACTGGCATCGACCTCGAGCTTGAAATGGCTTCGAAAAGTCGGGTGCAGAAAGAACAGGTGTGCAACACAGAATACCTTTAAGGCTCTCAAATGACTGTTGACACTCACCGGACCAACGAAAGGCTTTGAGGACTGGTCACGTAGTGAGCGGGGCCGCCCACCGAGGAAGAAGTTTCTGCAGAAACGGCGATAGTACCCTGCCATTCCTAGGAAGCGGCGAAAGTTCCCTTCTGGTGGATGGCACTGGGAGGGAGGGCAATTCCCCTGATCTTTGCATCATCAGGGCACACCTGCCCTCGACCAACTTGCTGACCAAGGTAGAAGAACGGTACCTTTTCCAAACTCACATTTGGCAAGGTATAACGTTAGGGATGCGGCGCCGACAAGCACTTAAAAACTTCTCTTAAGGTAGCACACGTGGCTAGAGCCCAGTCATTAGAATAGAAAACAATTGTCGTCCAGATTTGCCTTACAGTTTGGAATATGTCCTAATACAAGATGTACACAGCCTCTGAAAGGTGGCAGGTGCGTTACATATACCGAAAGGCATCACAGTGTACTGAGGAAGCTGTCAGGGGTCACAAAGGCTGAGATATCGGAAGCACGCTGTGTTAAAGGAACTTGCCAGCATCCCTTTAACATGTCCAGCTTACTGACAATTGTGGCAGGACCGATTTCATCGATGCAGTCATCAATGAGCGGTAAACGGGTGTGCATCGGAGGACAGTGACAGCAGTAACCTTGCGAAAGTCAGTGCAGAATCTGGGACTTCCATCTGACTTTGTGTCTAGCACACAAGGGGAACTCCATGAACTGGAACTAGGACTTGCAAATCCGTTTTAAGTAGATACTCAACTTCCCTTTCATAACCTCTCTCTTAACTGGGTTAACCCTATACAGCAAGCTGTTTGATGGGCAAAGGGTTGGTTAAGACCCACATCATGAGCTAGGACAGAAGTGTGTGAGGGAGTGTCATTTAAAAAGACATGCAAAGTCAAATAGCAGCTTCTGTATATCACTTTCTTGGTTATCAGGGAGATTAGACAAGTAATTGGGCAAATCAGCCAATACCTCAGTATTGCTTAGTCTTGCCCCCTGTGGTGTTGCACTGCGCAATCACCAACTCATCCTCATTTGAGCTCACCCTCGAAACTGAAGCCATAGGAGAGACGGTTGTCCCCACCTGGTGAGCTTTGGAAGACTCGTTTTGGTCATCCCTGGAGCAGTACTTCTTCAGCATGTTGATATGACACACTCTGTGTGAGGATTTACAGTATCTCCCTCCTTCTTCTCTTCTTTGTTTTATGTTTGTTATGTTCGTTCTGTCTGTCTGTGTGTCTGTCTCCCTGGCTGGGTGTGGCTGACCCACTTCTGATTCCCGCCAACTTCACCTCCGCAGCTGCTGCTCATCATCCTGATTACACTACTCACCTTCACCTGCTTATATGCCGCGGTCTCTCATCCAGTATTCACCAAGTTCGTCGTTTCAACCTCGCTGGTAATTCGACTGGTACATGTAGTTTATGGTAACACTAACTCTCTGTGTTCCTGCCGAATCTAACCCTTGTGTCGTTCTCCGTTCAGAATCCATCTGCCTACTCCTCTGCCTGCACATCCAGCCACGTACCTCTCGTCTGAGTATCTCCGTGCTTCCACGCACACCGGCTCCAACCTGTCAACTATCGCCAGCCTCTGGATCAGCGGCTTCCTCGCCAGTGTACCTTCGTGCTTCCACGCACACCAGCTCCTTCCTGTCGACTCTCACCAGCTCTGGTCCCCCGGCTCTCCTCGCCAGAGTATCTCCGTGCATATCCGCACCACCTCAGTTAACAAACCCTGGCTTTGGGTTTTATTGGATATTTAATCCCTCGTCTGACTCTATATAAGGTTTTTTGGTTAATAAACCTTTTCTACCTCAAAAGCTCTGTTTCATCGTCCTGTGTTCAGCATTGTGAGTTCACTCCTGTAGCTACCGTGAGCTTAACAGTACGAAACTGGTCACTATGAGCTTCCGCTGATGCCGGATCGGATCCCGCCTCAGTCCAGCACGCCATTTCCCATCAGGGAAATCTTCTGGGCCATCATGAGCAAGATGATTCCGAGCCTTAGTGGAGAGCAATCAATCCATGGCTCTAAACGTCTCAACACCTTGCTGCTCAGGTCTCTGCTTGACGGTCTTCTGGTACACTTCCTGCCATCCTCCTATCCACCTGTGGATTCCACTCCATGCCGGGACTTCCCCATTGCCGATCCTGAGCCTTTCCACGGAGAGGTGGAGAAATGCAGAGGATTTCTTTTTCAATGCAATAAGGTATTTCGCCAGCGCCCGTGTCTTTTTCCTCTGATGGAACTAAGATTAACTATATGTTGAGTTTGCTTCGTGGAAGAGCTTTAACCTGGGCCGAAGCATTGAGTTCTTCTGTGGATTACAATACACTTTCCTTTGGAGTATTTTTTCGGATCATTTTCCTCTGTTTTTGATCATCCTGAACACTCTGGCTCAGCTGCTAATCGTCTGTTGAATCTGCAACAAGGAACTCGAACCATTTGCAGATTATTCTATCGAGTTGCGCACACTGGCGGGCAGAAGCCCGATGGGACGAGGCGGGCTTTAAGGGCTGTGTTTGTTAGGGGATTGAGGGATCAACTGAAGGATGAGCTGGCTGCAAAGAGAGGAGGCCTGCTGACCTCCAATCCTTAATCTCCTGGGTTTCTCGTCTCGACAGCCGGCTGCGGGAGCGCCGTGCGGAGCGCACGCAAGGCGTCCTCCTTTTGCTTTGCCTTATCAGCCAAACAGTTCTCCCAGGTTTGCTCCCTCTGTGTCCGGACCCATCTGGCTTCACCTCACCCAACCCGCGTGCCCACTTCTGCTATGGTGGAACCTATGCAGTTGGGACGCACTGGATTATCCCCTGAGGAGCGCCTTCGACGTATTAGGTGTGGAGAATGCCTTGTACTGTGGAAAGGGTGGCCATATCCTCTCTGGCTGTCCTGTTTCGCCCAAACGCAAGGGCTCGTCAGTGAAGTTGGGGGTCCTGACGAGTTCGCTTCCTACACCTATTGTAGCCCCCAATTTTGAGCCGTTTTTTGATTCCTGCTAGACTTTGTTTCAACGCTCAGACATTGCCCTTTCTGCTCTCGTTGACTCTGGAGCTGAGGATAGCTTTGTGGACTGTGAACTAGCCAAACAAGCTGGGGTTACATTTGGGAAACTCTAACAGAACCTCTGACAGCATATGCTTTAAATGGGAAAAGCATTTCTAAGTGTTACACAGCAGACACAACCCTTTAACCCTGTTTATTTCTGGTAATCACAGAGAGGAGATTCACCTGAAGGGTTATTTCCTCACCAGCAACCCCTTTGGTTCTTGGATACCCATGGCTTCGCACCCACAATCCACATATTGATTGGGCCGGAGGGAAGAATCATGGAATGGAGCCAGTCGTGCACCTTCACTGTTTACAGTCTGCTGTGCCTCCCGTCCCTGTCGAACCTAAGTCTGCTCCTTGTGTCTCTGCTGAAGTTGACTTGTCTGGTGTTCCTGAAGTTTATCACAGCCTGAGTGGGGTCTTCAACAAGGAGGAAAGCTCTCTCTCTCCCTCCTCATCGTCCCTATGTATTGTCCCATCAATCTGCTGCCTGGAGCTCCTTTACCCACCAGCAGGCTTTATAATCTGTCTCGGCCTGAAAGAGAAGTCCATGGAGAGATACATCGGTGACTCTCTTGCTTCTGGGATAATGTCGTCCTTCTTCCTCTCCTCTGGGTGCTGGGTTTTTTTTCGTGGACAAAAAGGATAAGTCTCCTCCGACCCTGTATTGACTTTCGTGGGCTAAATAACATTACAGTTAAAAACAAGTACCCACTTCCCCTGATAAACTCAGCCTTTTGAACCTCTCCAAGGTGCCACCATCTTCTCCAAGCTCGACCTCAGGAATGCCTACCACCCCTTGTTCGAATTCGCCAAGGAGATGAGTGGAAGACAGCTTTCAACACCCCCCTTGGTCACTTCGAATATCTTGTCATGCCCTTTGGACTCTCAATGCCCCCGCTGTTTTCCAGGCCCCTGGTTAACGATGTCCTACGAGACTTCCTTAACCGATTCGTGTCGTTTACATTGACGACATCTTGATTTTTTCCACGAGTCCTGGAGGAACATCAGGACCACGTCAGTCAGGTGCTGCACAAGGCTGCCTTGAGAACAAGCTGTTCGTCAAGGCTGAGAAGTGCGAGTTTCACCAGGAGCGGGTCAGCTTCCTGGGATATATCATCAGGCAGGGCAAGTTGGAGGCTGATCCAGGAAAGATCCTAGCGTGTCTCCGAGTGGCCAGTCCCCACTACTAGGAAGGAGCTGCAGAGGTTCCTGGGTTTGCTAACTTCTATCGCCGGTTCATCAGGAACTATAGCAAGGTAGCAGCTCCACTCTCCAGTCTCACTTCTGTCAAGATCAAGTTTACCTGGACTACTGATGCTAACAAGGCATTTCTTCTCCTCAAATCCTTGTTCACATCTGCCCCACATACTCATCCAGCCCAGACTCAAGCAAGCAGGTTTGTGGTGGAGGTAGATGCATCTGACATCGGGGTTGGCGCTGTTTTGTCTCAGACGGCAGGGCCAGACAATAAGCTTCACCCATGTGCTTTCTTCTCTCGCCGTCTTTCCCCAGCTGAGAGAAATTATGATGTGGCCAACAGTTGACAGGGACACTAAGGAGTTTGTTTCAGCCTGCACTACATGTGCTAGGAGCAAGGCCTCTCATCAGAGACCTGCAGGATTGCTCCAGCCCCTTCCTATCCCAAGTCGACCTTGGTCTCATATTGCACTAGATTTTGTCACCGGCCTACCTCCCTCACAAGGGAAACACAATATTCTAACAGTTGTAGACCGTTTCTCCAAATGTGCCCATTTTGTAGCTCTGCCCAAGCTTCCCTCAGCCCTGGAGACCGGTCAACTTCTCACCCAGCATGTTTTCCGCCTGCATGGAATCCCGGCTGACATCGTCTCCGACCGTGGACCTCAGTTCATCTCTCTGGTTTGGAAGAATTTCTGTCATTCACTTGGTGCATCGGTCAGTCTAACTTCTGGTTATCATCCCCAGTCAAACGGTCAAACTGAAAGGGCCAATCAAGACCTGGAATCTACTCTCCGCTGTGTTGCCAATCGCAATCAATCTACCTGGAGCTCCCTTCTACCCTGGGTGGAGTATTCCTTTAATTCACTCACGTCTTCTGCAACTGCTCTCTCTCCTTTTGAAGCCTCCTTAGGGTACCAACCTCCCCTGTTTCCTGAGGAGGAGAGTGAGTTGGCAGTTCCTTCTGTCCAGCATCACATTCAACGGTGCCGTAAGATTTGGAGGGACACTCGCTCAGAACTCCTCCGGACTTCTACCAGGAATCAACGGTCAGCTAACCGTCACAGACATGCCGCTCCCCATTACACCCCTGGACAATCAGTTTGGTTGTCTTCCAAAAATATCTCACTCCTCACCGAGTCAAAGAAACTGTCCCCTCGGTTCCTTGGGCCTTTCCTCATTGAGCGCATTATTAACCCCTCTGCTGTCCGCTTGAGACTCCCCAGATCCATGAAGGTTCATCCAACCTTTCATGTTTCCCAGATCAAGCCAGTCCACACTAGTGACCTGTGCCCTCCAACCATTCCCCCTCCTCCCCCCCGAGTCATCGATGATCATCCTGCCTACACTGTGCATCGGCTTATGGATGTCAGACGCCGGGGCAGGGGCTTTCAGTACCTGGTTGATTGGGAGGGTTACAACCTGGAGGAACGTTGCTGGGTGCCTCGGTCACGCATCATGGACCCTGTCATGGTGAGGGAGTTCCACAGAGCACACCCTGACAAGCCTGGTGGTCGCCAGGAGGCTCCCGTGGAGAGGGGGGTACTGTGAGGATTTACAGTATCTCCCTCCTTCTTCTCTTCTTTGTTTTATGTTTGTTATGTTCGTTCTGTCTGTCTGTGTGTCTGTCTCCCTGGCTGGGTGTGGCTGACCCACTTCTGATTCCCGCCAACTCACCTCCGCAGCTGCTGCTCATCATCCTGATTACACTACTCACCTTCACCTGCTTATATGCCCGGTCCTCTCATCCAGTATTCACCAGTTCGTCGTTTCACCTCGCTGGTAATTCGACTTGGTACATGTAGTTTATGGTAAAACTAACTCTCTGTGTTCCTGCCGAATCTAACCCTTGTGTTCTCCGTCAGAATCCATCTGCCTACTCCTCTGCCTGCCACATCCAGCCACGTACCTCTCGTCTGAGTATCTCCGTGCTTCCACGCACACCGGCTCCAACCTGTCAACTATCGCCAGCTCTGGATCAGCGGCTTTCCTCGCCAGTGTACCTTCGTGCTTCCACGCACACCAGCTCCTTCCTGTCGACTCTCACCAGCTCTGGTCCCCCGGCTCTCCTCGCCAGAGTATCTCCGTGCATATCCGCACCACCTCAGTTAACAAACCCTGGCTTTGGGTTTATTGGATATTTAATCCCTCGTCTGACTCTATATAAGGTTTTTGGTTAATAAACCTTTTTCTACCTCAAAAGCTCTGTTTCATCGTCCTGTGTTCAGCATTGTGAGTTCACTCCTGTAGCTACCGGTGAGCTTAACACTCTGGTAGGACGTCTGCGGTCAGGTGTTTGAATGACGTAGTTTGTTTCACCGAGCTTCTTATCTACAACATAAGGACCAGAACATTTAGTAGACAGAGCAGAACCAGGTACAGGCAATAGAACCAACACCTTGTCACCTGGCTGAAACAAGCGCGCTACCGCCTTCTGGTCGTAGCGTTTCTTCATCTTCCCCTGGGTAGAGGTCAGAGCTTCCCTAGCCAAGGAGCAAGCACGATGTAGCTCAGGGGTGCCCAATACGTCGATTGCAATCGACCGGTCGATGGCAAGGGTAGTGTGGGTAGATCGCATTGGCAGTGACAAAAAAAGAAGAACAAAAAAAAGAAAAAAACTTACTATGGCATTGCCACTTGATTGATGTACAGGTAAGCCAGTCTGAGTTTGTATTGTGCCATACAGGTTCATGCAGTTATGAGGGGGCCTCACCTCCTCATCTGAAGTGCAAATGCGGCGCACTATTATACGCTTATGCGGCGCAATTAGTGTAAGCGCGCCACAGTTTATCCGTCGCTTAGTCCCCCCCCCCCCGCTCAAGACACAGATTGGGCAGGGGCGGCCCTGTAGGTAGATCATTTGGGCGTGGTCATTTTAATAGTAGCTCCCAAGCTGAAAAAGTGTGGGCACCCCTGATGTAGACGATCCCTAAGTTTGGCGACATACTCCGGGATACTGCAAACTTTTTTTCGTTGGCATGATCAAATGCTCTTTAAGAACTCTTAGAGGACCTCTGACCTCATGTCCAAACACTAGCTCAGCAGGACTAAAACCTAGAGACTCCTGAACAGCTTCACAGGCAGCAAATAACACTAAAGGAACACCGTCATCCCAATCTTTATGAGACTCGTGGCAATGTTTTCTTAACATGCATTGCATAGTCTGGTGAAACCTCTCTAATGCCCCCTGACTTTCAGGATGATATGGGCTGGATGTCACATGCTTGATACCTAAGGTTGTCAAGTACCCGGGCAAAACACTTTAGACATGAAGTTGGTACCTTGGTCTGTTTGAACTACCTTCATGAGGAAAAACTTCAGAAGTGCCTTGGTGATGACCGGGGCAGTGATTTTCCGTAGTGGGATGGCTTCTGGGAAACCTAGTGGAGGCACACATGACAGTTAAGAGAAACTGGTTTCCAGTTTTAGTTTTTGGCAAGGGTCCCACACAATCCACAATCACCCTATCAAATGGCTCTCCCATTACTGGAATGGGAATGAGAGGAGCAGGGTGAATCACCTGATTCGGTTTACCAGCAACTTGGCACACATGACATGTTCGACAATAAAGAACTACATCAGACTTGAGTCCTGGCCAAAATAAATGTTTTAAAACTCTTTCACACGTTTTTGTTACCCCCATGCGACCTGACCACGGATGATCATGAGCCAAGGACATCACCTGAGAACGATAGGCTGTTGGCACAACAACCTGATAAATTGCAAAGGAGTCTGACTCCTCACAGGCATCACTAATCCAGCGACGCATTAATAGGCCATCTTCCATAATGTAGGCCATCTTCTTTGACTTGGCCTCTTCCTGACTGATAGCAGAAGAGAGACATTTAGAAAGTGTTTCATCACTTAACTGGGCTGCTATGAATTCTTCCCGAGTGGCAGGCAGTTGTACAAGCTCTGAGCTGTTACTGGGTGATCCAGCACCAGCAGACCGGGTCAGTTTGTCTGTAGCCTACACACAAACTGAAAGATTGACAATAACGTTTTTTTTTTTTTTTTTTATTTATTTGACAGGGACAGTGCACATTGATTAACATTTCTGTAAATGCGCCAGAGTTAGCCAACAGGCTATTTTTCATCTGCAGTCCATGGACAGATGTTGAAAGTCATCCTAAAAAAAAAATGTCACTTCAAATGACAGGTAAATACAATCAGTAAAATAACATTCAACATAGATGCTTATATTATGATAAAAGCATATATAAAAACATAAAAACAAAAATACATATTCACAAAGCAGACAGATAGCAACAGGTCAAGGCACATGTGTACAAACAGAGCGTTGTAAAGTGCAGATTGTGTCAGTGTTGACAGAGCTGATTTTCCACTAACCATGTTTTTTAAATTAGATTTGAATAAACTGCATGTGTTTTGTTCTCTAATCGTTACAGGGATTGAGTTCCACTGTTGTACAGCTTTAAAAGAAAATGAAATATTGGCTGAAATGAACTCTTCCTTAATGGAACAACGTAATCTCCTCTTGTTGCAGCTCTTGTTGACCTAGTTATAGGTGTGCGTATGGTGATAAAATGTCTGAGCGGAGGTGAGGGTAAGTTGACTTTGACTTGACTTTCAAAGCTATAATATAGTTTGTCTAATATTAACGTCTAATATTTGAGTAAATGCGTGTTGTAAACTGTAACGTTCTTGTTGGTTATAACTGGGGATGTAGCTCAGTGGTTAGAGCGCATGCTTTGCATGTATGAGGCCCCGGGTTCAATCCCCGGCATCTCCACTCGTTTTGAAGTGGTTCAATCCGATGGGATTTGGTTTGGGAACCGGTACAAGTCCCAATGCAAGAACAAATCATTATCCACCACAGACCTGTGACAGATCGCGGATTACAAGCGGATCCGAGATGGGTTTTCTCCGCAGGGTGGCTGGCGTCTCCCTTAGGAATAAGGTGAGAAGTTCAGTCATCCGGGAGGGACTCGGAGTTGAACCGCTCCTCCTTCACGTCGAAAGGAGCCAGTTGAGGTGGTTTCAGGCACCTACCTAGTAAGGATGCCACCTGGGCGCCTCCCTAGGGAGGGGTTCCAGGCGCGTCCAGCTGGGAAGAGGACCGAGGGGTAGACCTAGGACCAGGTGGAGGGATTATATCTCTTCGCTGGCCTGGGAGCGCCTTGGGATCCCCCAGTCAAAGCTGGTTGATGTGGCCCAGGGAAAGGAAAGTTGGGGCTCTCTGCTGGAACTCGCTACCTCCGCGACCCCGACCACGGATAAGCGGGAGAAGATGGATGGATGGACCTGTGACAGTGATACCTATGGAAGCCTGTTTGCGCCACAGGAAAAAAAAAAAATCCTGTAAGTCAATATATTGACTTACTATCTCAATATATTGACTTAGCTATCTCAATATATTGACTTAATATCTCAATATATTGACTTAGCTATCTAAATATATTGACTTACTATCTCAATATATTGACTTACTATCTCAATATATTGACTTAGCTATCTCAATATATTGACTTACTATCTCAATATATTGACTTAGCTATCTCAATATATTGACTTAGAATATAGAATAAGGCACATAGACATCAATGTTTATCATATAACCGGTACAACTTTATATTAAGGTACAGAAATTAACCATCATCTAGTTGTTAATTAACATGCATATTAGCAGTATATTGGCTCTTTATTAGTCATTATAAAACACGTATTAATGCCTTATTCTACATGACTATATTTCTACAAGTAATAGGGCCATTAGTTGAGAGTTTTTCCTCAATAACCCTCTAATTAGTCCTTATTTATTGCAAATAAGGAAGTTGTTTGTACATGAGCTTTGGTCTTAATATGCTCTCCTCAATATGTCTAAATAACAAAAAATTAGGTATTTCTATCTAAGAATATATTCCCTATTTTAAAGTAAAGTCTTGTTCATAACCAACAAGCTAATTTGACTCTAATTGACCTCAACAGGTTCCCTATTCTAAAGTTGCCTCCTCTTCACACTTTGTAAATACATTATAGCACACAACTACTGAAATGAACCTCAACAGTACATGAACAAAGTAGGGCTCACGTTGAAATATCTGTTTTATTAATGAAGCACGAGATAGTGCATCGGCAAGAACATGATCGGCCCCTTTTTATGACTTATGTCAAGGTTGTAGTTTCTGGACAATCAATGAGCAACACATAAGGCGTTGATTGTGGTTGTACATCCTTGCAAGAAAAACCAGGGGATTGTGATCAGTGTATACCTTAATAGGTTTTACACTGGAGCCAAGATACACCTCAAAGTGCTGCAAGGCAAACAATAGAGCTAAAGCTTATTTTTCAATCGTAGAGTACTTCAACTGATGTTGTTAAACTTTCGGGAGTAGTAAACTCACGGGGGGATCGATGGCCTGTGCATCTTCTTGTAGAAGAACAGCCCCTGTCCCAACTCCACTGGCATCGACCTCGAGCTTGAATGGCTTCGAAAAGTCTGGTGCAGAAAGAACAGGAGTGCAACACAGAATACCTTTAAGGCTCTCAAATGACTGTTGACACTTACCGGACCAAACGAAAGGCTTTGAGAGACTGGTCAACGTAGTGAGCGGGGCCGCCACCGAGGAGAAGTTTCTGCAGAAACGGCGATAGTACCCTACCATTCCTAGGAAGCGGCGAAGTTCCCTTCTGGTGGATGGCACTGGGAGGGAGGCAATTGCCCTGATATTTGCATCATCAGGGCACACCTGCCCTCGACCAACCTGCTGACCAAGGTAGAGAACGGTACCTTTTCCAAACTCACATTTGGCAAGGTTTAACGTTAGGGATGCGGCCGACAAGCACTTAAAAACTTCTCTTAAGGTAGCAACGTGGCTAGCCCAGTCATTAGAATAGAAAACATTGTCGTCCAGATATGCCTTACAGTTTGGAATATGTCCTAATACAAGATTTACAAGCCTCTGAAATGTGGCAGGTGCGTTACATATACCGAAAGGCATCACAGTGTACTGAAGGAAGCTGTCAGGGGTCACAAAGGCTGAGATATCGGAAGCACGCTGTGTTAAAGGAACTTGCCAGCATCCCTTTAACATGTCCAGCTTACTGACAAATTGTGCAGGACCGATTTCATCGATGCAGTCATCAATGAGCGGTAACGGGTGTGCATCGGGGACAGGGACAGCATTAACCTTGCGAAAGTCAGTGCAGAATCTGGGACTTCCATCTGACTTTGTGTCTAGCACACAAGGGGAACTCCATGAACTGGAACTAGGCCTTGCAAATCCGTTTTTAAGTAGATACTCAACTTCCCTTTTCATAACCTCTCTCTTAACTGGGTTAACCCTATACACAAGCTGTTTGATGGGCAAAGGGTTGGTTAAGACCACATCATGAGCTAGGACAGAAGTGTGTGAGGGAGTGTCATTTAAAAGACATGCAAAGTCAAATATCAGCTTCTGTATATCACTTTCTTGGTTATCAGGGAGATGAGACAAGTAATTGGGCAAATCAGCCACTACCTCAGTATTGCTTAGTCTTGCCCCCTGTGGTGTTGCACTGCGCATCACAACTCATCCTCATTTGAGCTCACCCTCGAAACTGAAGCCATAGGAGAGACGGTTGTCCCCACCTGGTGAGCTTGGAAGACTCGTTTTGGTCATCCCTGGAGCAGTACTTCTTCAGCATGTTGATATGACACACTCTGGTAGGACGTCTGCGGTCAGGTGTTTGAATGACGTAGTTTGTTTCACCGAGCTTCTTATCTACAACATAAGGACAGAACATTTAGTAGACAGAGCCAGAACCAGGTACAGGCAATAGAACAACACCCTTGTCACCTGGCTGAAACAAGCGCTGCTACCGCCTTTCTGGTCGTTCAGCGTTTCTTTCATCTTCCCCTGGGTAGAGGTCAGAGCTTCCCTAGCCAGGAGCAATGCACGATGTAGCTCAGGGGTGCCCCAATACGTCGATTTGCAATCGATCTCCGGTCGATGGCAAGGGTTAGTGTGGGTAGATCGCATTGGGCAGTGACAAAAAAGATAGAACAAAAAAAAGAAAAAAACTTACTATGGCATTTGCCACTTGATTGATGTACAGGTAAGCCAGTCTGAGTTTGTATTGTGCCATACAGGTCATGCAGTTATGAGGGGGCCTCACCTCCTCATCTGAAGCGGCAAATGCGGCGCACTATATACGCTTATGCGGCGCAATTAGTGTAAGTGTGCCACAGTTATCCGTCGTTTAGTCCCCCCCCCCCCGCTTCAAGACTACAGATTTGGGCAGGGTGCGGCCCTCTGTAGGTAGATCATTTGGGCGTGGTCATTTTAATAGTAGCTCCCAAGCTGAAAAGGTGTGGGCACCCCCTGATGTAGACGATCCCTAAGTTTTGGCGACATACTCCGGGATACTGCAAACTTTTGTCGTTGGCATGATCAAATGCTCTTTAAGAACTCTTAGAGGACCTCTGACCTCATGTCCCAACACTAGCTCAGCAGGACTAAAACCCTAGAGACTCCTGAACAGCTTCACAGGCAGCAAATAACACTAAAGGAACACCGTCATCCCAATCTTTATGAGACTCGTGGCAATGTTTTTCTTAACATGCATTGCATATTCTGGTTGTGAAAAGCTCTCTAATGCCCCCTGACTTTCAGGATGATATGGGCTGGATGTCACATGCTTGTGATACCTAAGGTTGTCAAGTACCCGGGGGCAAACACTTTAGACATGAAGTTGGTACCTTGTCTGTTTGAACTACCTTCATGGAGAACAACTTCAGAAGTGCCTTGGTGATGACCGGGGCAGCAGTGATTTTCCGTTAGTGGGATGGCTTCTGGGAACTAGTGGAGGCACACATGACAGTTAAGAGAAACTGGTTTCCAGTTTTAGTTTTTGACAAGGGTCCCACACAATCCACAATCACCCTATCAAATGGCTCTCCCATTACTGGAATGGGAATGAGAGGAGCAGGGTGAATCACCTGATTCGGTTTACCAGCAACTTGGCCACACATGACATGTTCGACAATAAAGAACTACTCAGACTTGAGTCCTGGCCAAAATAAATCTTTTAAAACTCTTTCACACGTTTTTGTTACCCCCATGCGACCTGACCACGGATGATCATGAGCCAAGGACATCACCTGGAACGATAGGCTGTTGGCACAACAACCTGATAAATTGCAAAGGAGTCTGACTCCTCACAGGCATCACTAATCCAGCGACGCTTAATAGGCCATCTTCCATAATGTAGGCCATCTTCTTTGACTTGGCCTCTTCCTGACTGATAACAGAAGAGAGACATTTAGAAAGTGTTTCATCACTTAACTGGGCTGCCATGAATTCTTCCCGAGTGGCAGGCAGTTGTACAAGCTCTGAGCTGTTACTGGGTGATCCAGCACCAGCAGACCGGGTCAGTTTGTCTGTAGCCTACACACAAACTGAAAGATTGACAATAACGTTTTTTTTATTTTTTTTATTTATTTGACAGGGACAGTGCACATTGATTAACATTTCTGTAAATGCGCCAGAGTTAGCCAACAGGCTATTTTTCATCTGCAGTCCATGGACAGATGTTGAAAGTCATCCTAAAAAAAAATGTCACTTCAAATGACAGGTAAATACAATCAGTAAAACAACATTCAACATAGATGCTTATATTATGATAAAAGCATATATAAAAACATAAAAACAAAATACATATTCACAACAGACAGATAGCAACAGGTCAAGGCACATGTGTACAAACAGAGCGTTGTAAAGTGCAGATTGTGTCAGTGTTGACAGAGCTGAT